GACAGGGGAGAGAAAGAGAGAGGGAAGGAAAGAGAGAGAAGGAGGTAAAGAAAGAGGGAAGGAAAGAGAGAGAGCGCGGCAGAGAGAATGAGATAGGGAGAGAGGGAGGGAAAAAGAGGGAAAGAGAGAGGGGGAAGAGAGACAGGGGAGAGAAAGAGAGAGGGAAGGAAAGAGAGAGAAGGAGGTAAAGAAAGAGGGAAGGAAAGAGAGAGAGCGCGGCAGAGAGAATGAGATAGAGAGAGAGGCAGGGAAAGAGAAAGAGAGAGGGGGAAAGAGAGGGGGGAGGGGGGAGGGAAAGAGAGAAGGGGGAAGAAGGAGAGAGGGAGGGAAAAAGAGGGAAAGAGAGAGGGGGAAGAGAGACAGGGGAGAGAAAGAGAGAGGGAAGGAAAGAGAGAGAAGGAGGTAAAGAAAGAGGGAAGGAAAGAGAGAGAGCGCGGCAGAGAGAATGAGATAGAGAGAGAGGGAGGGAAAGAGAAAGAGAGAGGCAAGGAAAGAGAGAGGGAGGGAGAGAAAGAAAGAAATGATATTACAAAAGTTTTTCTTTTTTATTGTTATTGTTGCTAAGTGTAATATTTCAAAAACAGAAAAAAGTGAAGGGGCATAAAAGTGCATTTGTCATGTTTTTTCTTAAAACAATTAGCTGAATTCTGTCTTGTTTAGGTAGTAAAACCTCATTATTCAGGTCAAATTGCCTTGATGGCACTTTGCGATAAATAAGTGGGTTTTGGGTTGCAGTTTGGGCTCTCGGTCTCTAAAGTTTCACCATCACTGTTCTATACCACTTCAGACAAATGGTTATCCAACCTCTTCTTTAAAACTTCTAGTGGTGGAGCATTTACAACCACAGGAGACAAGTTGTTCCACTCCTTAATTGTTCATATATCATCTCTCCTCCTTCATATTTTAGATATGTAACTGCAGATACAGAAGTGGTTAAAGTGTAAAACGAGCCACAGGTGCTCCCCCAAAATCTTAAGACGCAAGGCAGCTTTTACCGTAAAGGACCTGGGAAGCGAGGAGATTCCTCTCATAGGGGCTCCAAACGGCCTCGGGGTGACCACCGATGTCAACCTGGCTGTGTCCGTCTTCTGATAACTCCTCGATAGGGAGGCTGAAACGCGGCCAGATCCAGTTTGGGCATTGGTGGACTGGGAACTGGGCAAAGGGGACTCCGTTCTTTCTCCGTCCAGGCTGTCTACGGAGGTGAGAGACTCATCCTTCACCCCACGCTCCGATTTCCGGTTCCTCGGCTCCTGGTCGTCTTCCCTTTTCAAGCCTCCATTTGCCTCGGTTGGAATGCAAACTTTGGGAGACGCTTTCTCTTCCCGAAAGACGTCATCGTTCGAGAAATACATTTGTTCCGTCTCCTGCCAAGAATTCCTCAGAGGAGCTTGATCTCGCCTCTCTCTGGAAGAAAAGCAAGATAGCTCTGGGTAACCGATGACCTCAAAAGGTGTGTGTGTGTGTGTGTGTGTGTGTGTGTGTNGCCCAAACAATGTATGAACATATTAAGGTTTCAATACATTAATTTCAACTACTTCACAGTTATAATGATTGCTCGCCAGCTCCACTAGCTAATTTTTCTCACTGTCAGGAAACTTCTTAGTTCTAGATTGGTTCTCTCCTTGATTAGTTTCCATCCGTTGCTTCTTGTCCTACTGGAATATATTGGAACACTGCTACCACCTCGCCCCTAATACTTCTTTTCAATAGATTAGATGTACCCAATTCCTCAAAAAGCCAAGCCCAGCTAGTGTACTGCAGGGATCAGGGAACAGCAGTGGGTTTCATATTTTGTAACCACCGGTTCGCTGCATGGGCCCCCGCTCGCTTCACGCCCAGCCTTCCATGCATGTGCTTTGCTCTCGCGTATGCTTTCCGTGCATGCACCTGGCCTCAAAAACATGTCTAAATAGGACGGCATAGAGCCGAGGCCGGTGGGCAGGCTCACCCACAATTTCCGCTACCTGTTCAGGTGAACGAATCTGAACCAGCTGAATACCACCTCTGTCAAGGGAAACACATGTGTCCCTAATTTAATTGGATCTGACTTTTCCTGCAGCTATCTCTGCATTGCTCCAAAGCTGAGAATTGTGCATGAATTCCTGTTTGCATTAAGTGGTGAGATGTATCTCCTTGCCTTCCCTCTAGGAGAGCAGGGCAGAATATAGGTAGATACAGGTAGATATTGGATTACTGCTATCATGTCACCTCTAGTTCTTCTTTTCACTAAAGGACTAAGTTGAAAGGATATAATACAGTATATAGACAGGGTAGGTACATGTTACAAACAAATTAAAGAATTTAAAACATTAAGTGTGATGTGTTGATATAGAAATAATGGACAAATAGTTACAAATCCAAAGTGAAATATCACCTTTTGATTCCTTCTACGTGAGTAGTTTTACCACTTCTGTTGGAAATCTCTATAAGGAGCTTGTGTGTCTATAGACACCCAACCATATTATGTAACAAGCAGATTCCTAACAAGAATGAACTTTTGGTCCTAGTAGAGGGAGCATTTAATTTGCTGTTACCAATTTCAATATCTATCTCGAATTCTAAAAGAGATAGATCTTGTCTTTCTAATACTCCTGAAACACTCAGGCAAATTGCAGATTACATCCAATATGCCATTGTGGTTTTTCATGACAAGAAGAGAGGGAAAGAGAGAGGGGGGGAAAGAGAGGGAAGGAAAGAGAGGGAGAAAGAGAGGGGGGGAGAAAGAGAGGGAGGGAGAAAGAGAGGGAGGGAAGGAAGGAGGGAGGAAAGAGAGGGAAAAAGAGAGGGAGAGGGGGAGGGAAAAAGAGAGGGAGAGGGGAGGGAAAGAGAGAGGGGGGAGACAGGGGGAGAGAAAGAGAGAGGGAAGGAAAGAGAGAGGGAAGGAAAGAGAGTGGCAGAGAGAATGAGATAGAGAGAGAGAGGCAGGGAAAGAGAAAGAGAGAGGGAGAAAGAGAGGGAGAGAGGGGGAAGGAAAGAGGGAAAGGGGAAGAGGGGAAAAGGGAGAGAGGGAGGGAGGGAAAAAGAGAGGGAGAGGGGGAGGGAAAGAGAGAGGGGGAAAAGAGACAGGGGAAGAGAAAGAGAGAAGGAAGGAAAGAGAGAGAGGGAAGGAAAGAGGCAGAGAGAATGAGATAGAGAGAGAGAGGCAGGGAAAGAGAAAGAGAGAGGGAGAAAGAGAGGGAGAGGGGGGGAAGGAAAGAGGGAGAGGGGGAGGGGGGAAAAGGGAGAGAGGGAGGGAGAAAAAAAGATAGGGAGAGGGGGAGGGAAAAAGAGAGGGAGAGGGGAGGGAAAGAGAGAGGGGGGAGACAGGGGGAG